CTCAAGTTCTCCTAAGTTATAGCACCCTTCTTTGGGCTCCTTGGCACTGAACTTTCTGTGTACTCAGTAGTATTGATCTTGGTTCTGCAAGCACCCCTCTTATCCCCCAACAAGGCTGTAGGCAGGTAGTGGTTAGAGACCTGCTTGGGCATCTTAGTAATCCTCACAGCATTCAGCACAGTGTCTTGTACAGAGTAGGCATTTAATAAATATTTATGGAAAGAATGGCTTTTAAGATCTATCAGACACAAGAATGATAAAAATGATCTTATGTATTTATAGGTTTATATAAATATGCATATATATATATATAACTCCTGCCAACTAGGTGAGCCAGACAGGTGAGGTAGGTGTTATCTCCATTTTATTAATGAAACTCTGAATGCCTGAAAGGTGTAAGAACTAGACTTGGGCCGCCCTGAAAGTTGGTGAGGAAGTAAGTATTAGGATGGGTCTCCTGGCTCTTAGTCCTGTGTGATCTTCCGTGCTAATACCCTCTACTTTCTTTCCACGGAAGACTCATTTGTTCTAACAGAATTATGAGGTGGGAAAAGCTTTCTTCTCAGTTTCATTTTTAAGAAAATCTATTTACTATAGGAGTCTCTCATGAATTAAGAATGTCACATAGTGGAATGAACATTTACTGAATACAACTTTAGGGTCTGCCTTTTACCAACTGAATGACCTTGGGCAAGTTACTTAACCTTTCTGAACTATGGTTTCCCCATTTATAACAATGAAGGAATTAGACTTGTTGTACTTAAAATTATTTCTTGTTCTAACAGTACAGGAGGAATTGTCTACCATTAGATAAGGAAATTATTGCCATTGAGGTAGAATTACTTTATTGAGAAAATCTGTGGATCTCCCCAGTACTTACTGGAGAAGATGTGTGTCAGGGGAGCCCCAGGGTCCTCTCATAAGTCAAATCATAGAGCTCAAGCTTTAGAATGTAGCAGAAAGAAGAAACATCTCTGTAATCTCACTGCATTCAGCACGGTGTCTTGCACAGAGTAGGCATTTAATAAATATTTATTGAAAGAATGGCTTTTAAGATCTATCAGACACAAGAATGATAAAAATGATCTTGTGCATTTATAGGTTTATATAAATATGCACACATACAGATATATACACATAAGTCCTGCCAACAGTGAGAAATCAATATATTCATTCCATAGTCATCCAGTGTTCACCGAGCACCTACCAGAGCCATTGGGTGCTGAGACCAAGAAGATGAACAAGGAGCTCTCAGGTTCATCATGTAGAGACATGCAGCTAAAAAATTGTAATTGACTGTGATAAATACAAAAAGCTATATACAAGGTAAAGTTAAGGTGAAAAGGTGGGAGGAATCAGTTTCATGTTGGGAAACGGAGGTGGGAAGAGAGATTAGGGCGAGGCAGGAGAAGTTTTGTAGAGGAGATGAGGTAAGTTGATATCTCTACAGAATGTGATATGAAATGTGGTCAGTGAATTTTAAAAGAATAAAGTCTTCTGAACTGGGCGTGGGATCACAACTGTAATCCCAACAATTTGGGAGCCTGAGGAGGGTGGATTGTTTGAGCCTAAGAGTTCAGGGCCAGCCTGGGCAACAGGGTGAAACCTCCATCTCTACAAAATATACAAAAAAAATTAGCCAAGCATGGTGGCACACATTGTAGTCCCAACTACTTGGGAGGCTCAGATGGGAGGACCCCTTGAACCCAGGAGGTGGAAATTGCAGAAATTGCAGTGAGCTGTGATTGCGCCACTGCACTCCAGCCTGGGTGACAGAGAGGGACGCTGAATTAAAAACAACTAAAAAAAAAAGAATAAAGTATTTTGAGATAGGAAAAGGGGAGGCTTGATTATTAAAATAGAATTGGGATTCTGTGTGAATACTAAATTTAATAATAATTACTGGTAACTTAAAACAATGCAACTGAGTTCTTCTTGGTTAATGAAAAGGAATTGACTGACATGACTGGTTTATACAAACCTAGATTTCCTGAAAATCTTGATTTCAACTATTCTCATCAGACCACATCTTCCAATTTTACTTTAAGCACACTTATGGATGATCATGAGAAATGGTTGACTTGCCACCAATGATGGAAAAATAGGCATGAGCTTAAATATTTTAAGAGCTATCAAGATGAGATATTTGTACATATGTTCAACATTTATCAAGCATTATAATAACAAGTCATGGTCCTCATTTTCAGGAAACTTTAAGAAGATATCAAAAGATGTTGAAAAGAACATTCTGATCCAAAAGGTAGAAGCAGAAAGAGTCACTGAATATCAGAACAGGAAAAGACCTTACACGCTCTTTAATCTGTTTCTCTCATTTTTACAGATTTGTAAACCGACATCCAGAAAGACACAATCATATGCCAAAGTCACTCTGTACACTGTGGATCTTTGGACTCAAATATAAAGACTTCAGAATTTTAGATATTACATTTTTAAAGAGTTGAGAAAGAACATGTGATAGTCTCTACCACTTTGATAATTTCCAAAGCTTTGTCTGTAATTCGTCCCAGGTTCTTTGAATTTAATTTTGTCTGGAAGCATGGTCCTACATGATGAACTACACCCAGCCTAAAAAAATTTTCCAGTGTCATTACGGAGAAAAGACCAAGCTCCATGAAACAGGGCAACAGTAGATGCTTTCATTCCAAAGAAAAATCTGCTATGGGAAGTCAAAGAAGGGAGGGATTGGTGTAGTCCAGAGCAGTTCAGGAATAAAGGATTTGGTCTCCTCTTTAATGATAACTGGAGGGAAGGAAAGATGGCTATGTTGGAGAGCAATGGTGGGGATAGCAAGGGCCGAGGAGAAACAGCAGGAATGAGACCAGAGTTTGGGGTTGCGGAGAGACTTGGTTAAAGGGAACTGGGCTTAGAGGAGAGGGCAAGAGCATCCCCTGGAATTCTCTTCCAGTTCAGTAATTCAGATCTTCTCTATTCTATCATTTTACCAAGCAGGAAGGTGGAGCCGGAAGGAGGCACATCCTTTATCCACAGCTGTAACCAGTAATCCCCTCAGGCGGTGCTTCTTCCAGGAGGAAGGTGTTGGGGTAATCCCGCCTGCAATTAAGCTGCTATAGCGCTTGAGGAAGTGCAATGCCACCAGAGAAATTCCAAGGAAGTTCCAGCCCTCACCTGCCTGAGCTCACTTCCTTCATGTGACATGTATATATAGGTATAAATAATGGGAAGCCTTTCAACTTGAGACAGACTCCTAGGAGACCAGAAGCAGCACCCCTTCCTGAGCTCAGGTAAGAGATCTTACCCTCTACTGACACTGCTCACCTTGTTCTGGGGATCGGCCAATCGTTTACCCCAGATACCTTCAAGGTCACATCTAAAGGACCCTTTTCCATGAGGACAAGATCTCTTTGAGGACAAATAATCATCATGCTTATCTTTGTACTTCAGTATCCAGCACAGCATTCAAGACAGTGGGTGCTCATTAAATGCTCATCAAATTGTTAGTTCAAGACAACTAACATCAATCTCTACTTAAAATGAATTGATCAATTACTCTGTGCTAAGCGTATACATTATAGGCTATTTTATTTAAATGTCAAAACAATTTCTGAGTTAAGCTTAATTATCACCATTTTTGGGTTAAGAAAATGAAACTCAGAGGTGAGTTGACTTGTCCAAGATCACATAGAGGTGGGGTGGCCAACTCATTCCAGTTTACCTGTGGCTCTTCCAGTTTTAAAACTGAAATTCCTGTATCTCGGGAACCACCTGTCACCTCCCACCTTGGTCCTGGGTAAACTGGAATGACCCACATAAATAGGAACCAGTAAAGCAAAGATTTATTTGGACCCAGCTCTCTTGTCTCCAAACCCAGTGTGCTCTCTGATTCTTTTGGATTTGGTTTTCTTTTTCCCTTTTCCTACATTTGCCAGTCTCTTGAGCGGTCACAAATATAAAAAAATGTCTAGCATATTGCCTGGCACATAGGAAAAATTCAGTAAGTGATAGTGATTATCAGTGCTGTGCCAAGCTATGGAGCCAGCCATATATATATGTATGTATATCTATATGTATATATGTATATATATGTGTGTATATATATCTATATATGTCTTTATAAATTTCATGTATGTTATTTCTTTCAAAAATATTAAAGTAGTTGAGGAAATTGAAAAATTAAACAGGTTTGTTAGAACTCATGACTTTACGTTTAAATATTTTATTTATGCCCCAAACAAAATTTATTATAATTTTGCTGTCCTGGTTTTAAGGGAAGGAAGCTCATCAATAATATTTTCATCATATACTTTTGAGAAACAAACTTAACCATTAAGAATAAAACACGAAAACATATGAGTAGCGGTACATCTTCTCCCTTTTGCTTCAATATGGCTCAGCATGGCACTATCGAATTTTGTCTTTATTTAAAATTGTGATATTTTGTTTGTCACAAGCTTTTAAATTCATTTTGATATTACATTAAAATAGTTTTTGTCTTGACGACTGAGGTTTCTTAGTGCTCCCTTAAATTTTGTGCTCCAAATGAGTGCCTCAATTGTTTTACCCTAACCCTAGCCTACTATCATTTTATCTTAAAACTCAGCAAACACCCTAAACTGTTCTCTACTGAGGAGCCTCACTCAAGAAGAAATGAGTTCCATCATTGCCTTTCTTCTCTGACTTTTGGGACCATTTGCTTAGCCTAGGGCCTGAGTTGCAGGGCCAGGAAAATGTACTCTCCAATCTGCCCAGGAGTGCCTGACTACAGTCCTCCTGCAGAGGGCGCCATGGAGTCCCAGACACTTCAGTGTTAGGTGGAATGGGGCTGATTGCCCATCACGTCTTGCCTTTCCCTGGCAGTAGGCTTGTTATGAAATCATTGACTTTCTATTTGCCTCTAGGGCTTAAGTGAATCTGTTATCCTCAAATAAACTATCTGATCTCAGACAAATGCCAAACAACGCTCAGTTCCTTTACCCTGTGGGTGGCCATAAAATCCAGACAATTTCCCTCCAGGTGTTTTTGATGGCGCACCCACAGCTTTTGTGAGATTCCGTTTCTCCCCAGTTGCCCTGTGAGTCTGAGGGAGCCGAAGGGTGAGCTACATTGGCATTCTGGAAGGGAAGTCTATATGCGTCAATTCCCCAAAACAAGTTTTGACATTTCCCCTGAAATGTCATCCTCTGTCTAGTCACTGCAAGTGCCTGCTGTTCCAGGCCTTACCTGAGGGGTACTGACAGCGGAGCCAGGATGGGGACAGAATAAAGGAGCCACAACCTGTGGCACCAACTTGCACTCAAACCCTGAGCTCAGACCTGAAAGCTTCTCTTCACGGGAGGCTCAGCAGTTTTTCTTAGTAAGTTATGTGGATGAGCCACACTGTCTGAGGCCAATTAAGCCTGTTTGGTTTTCCCCCAGTGGACACCTGGAAGAGGGGGAAATCAGTAAGTCATGCTCTTTTCTTTGAATTCCTAGCTCCTGTGGTCTCCAGATTTCAGCCATAAGATGAAAGCCTCCGGTCTTGCCTTCAGCCTTCTTTCTGCTGCATTTTATCTCCTCTGGACTCCTTCCACTGGACTGAAGACACTCCATTTGGGAAAGTGTGTGATCACCACAAACCTTCAGGAAATACGAAATGGATTTTCTGAGATACGGGGCAGTGTGGTACGTAGGCGGGTATCTACCTCTTCTGGACACCTCTTCTGTCCCCTCCTGGTCTGTTTCTCTTTCCTGGCAGTCCTGGCAGTGTGATCATGAAAAGAGACAGGCTGGGGACTCCTTACTCAGTGGATGTATTCCCTAGAAATATCTGTAATTCATATATATAAAATGTTTTGGGAAAGGACACCTTCCAACACATTTGGTCCTTGGCAGGGTGGGGATGATAGGTCTTGATATTGAAGACCCTGGCAGCAGTCACTGACCCATCCTTGCTTGTTTTGTCTTCTTCTGTTTAGCAAGCCAAAGATGGAAACATTGACGTCAGAATCTTAAGGAGGACTGAGTCCTTACAAGACACAAAGGTATGTGCTTGGCCCAGACAAACTCGGGGAGTAGGTGTGGAGTGGGAGCATCTCCATCACCCTGGTCTTGTCTCTGCTGTCCCCTCTCCCCTCACCAACATGCCTTTTTTTTTTTTTTTTTTGCAGCCTGCAGATCGGTGCTGCCTCCTACGCCATCTACTAAGACTCTATCTGGACAGAGTATTTAAAAACTACCAGACTCCTGACCATCATACTCTCCGGAAGATCAGCAGCCTCGCCAATTCCTTTCTTACCATCAAGAAGGACCTCTGGCACTGTGTGAGTGTGGGTCTTGGGTAATAGGATGCGTCTTAGCATATAGTTTCAATGGCTTAGCAAGCAAACTCTCGTTCCTACCCCCATTTAATGGATGGAGAAACTGAGTCCAAAAGTTCTAATAATCTGTGTTGAGATGTGTTACTAGGTAATAAGAACCCAGTTTTATTGACTTTTGGGTATATGCTCTAGGCAAAAAGTACTTTGCAAAGCCTTAAGAACTGTAAGGTGCTAACTATTTGATATTAATGTTAACTCTGTTACCTTTGAAATTATACTTTTTCTGTAGGTGAGGTATCCTACATTAGTGCATCCTCTGTCTAGGTAGTCAGTTAATAGACTATTGAACTTGACCTCAGAATATGGTCTGAATAGGACCTAGGAATTCAACTCTTTTTCTTCTCCCATGGGGGCTCAAAGAGCTCTGGGATAGAGCTCCTAGACTGAAGCTGGGGGTTGTGAAGAGGCCAGCTGCAGTACAGGGATGGCAAATTCCTTCAGCACTGCCGGACTTCTTCTCAAAAAGAAGGAATGAGTTCCATGTTTCAGCATAAAAGGTGGCTTCCTCTCCTAGCTGATGATGAACTTAATGATTCCAAATGGGAGGTCTGAAATAACTTTTCTATGGGACTAAGGATTCTCAGGGTTGTGGTGAAAGAGTAGAATTTGCAACTGCTTCATGTCAATGGTAAGGGCAAAACAAAAAGAATCTGTAATAAAATCTATTATTCTTTGGGTCCTTTTCAGCATGCCCACATGACATGCCATTGTGGGGAGGGAGCAACGAAGAAATACAGCCAGATTCTGAGTCACTTTGAAGAGGTATATGTAATTTTGGCATTGATTGGGTTGGGTGTGTTTTAAGAACTGAGATCATAGGTGGGTGGGATGCATATTCAGGCTGTTAGAAATCCTGTAGCCTTCAGGTTCATAGCCCTCTGAAATCATGAGGACTAGCCCTTGCTTTAACCCAGGGGATACCCATCCAGGCTCTAGAAGAGTGCTCTCTCTGGGTGATGCTCTGGAAATGGAAAAAGAATGGCCACGACTCCATCAAGTCACTACAGAGACATCTGGATCTTTTAGCTGCACAAACCAGAGGCAATAGTTTTTCAATGTTCACACTTTGTACATACCTTTGAAAACACTCACAATTTCACACACACCCATGCCATTCAGTTTCTCACCTTAACACCTTCTCATGTCTGTCAGGAAGGCCTGGAGTTCACTCCTCACTGACTAAATCTTACTCATCCTTTAAAGATTCAGCCTGGGCATCACTTTCAGGACGGTGCTGGCTGCTTCTCTCAAAGTTAGATGCCTCCCATATCATCCTGTGGGAACTTCATCACTTTAGTCACCACACTACATTTTAGTTGCCTGTTTTTGCCAATATCCTCATGCAACTGTGGATAGGGATTGTGCCATTCACCTCTGTATCCCTAGCCATCAGCCAGGTGATTGGCACAATCAGTTCAATTGATGTATGCACAGTGGGCAACCCCTACACACACACACACACACACACACACACACACACACGTTTCTTAAAGAAAACAGCTTGATTGCTTTGATCTCTATGCTTCAAGAGTCTCAGGTTGCAGTTTTGCTTCTGCTACCTCCTTGCACCTCAGTGTCTGTACTTAAGATCAGGGTGATGAATTCAATGATTTCCCTTCCTCGTGTGAGATCTTGAGATTCTATAACTTCTTTAAGTGCTTCATCTTGAAAAGAATGCTCTGCTCACACGTGTCAGTAGACCTATCCATAAGAGAGAGGATTAACCCTGGAGCAAATGTTGTCTCATGAGTTGCTAACCAGATGGGTATGTGTCTCTTTCAGCTTGAGCCTCAAGCAGCAGTTGTGAAGGCTTTGGGAGAACTAGATATTCTTCTGCAATGGATGGAGGAGACAGAATAGGAGGAGGGTGATGCTGCTGCTAAGAGTACTCGAGGCCAAGAGCTCCAGTCCTCACTACCTGCAGAGGCATGACCCCAAACCAACATCTGTTTACCGTATTATTAGTGCTGGTCACAGTGTATTTTATTTATTTATTATTTGTTTCCTTCTGTGATTGTCTTTGTACATTCCCAACCTTAATTGAGACCATACTTGTATAAGATTTTTGTAATATCTTTCTACTACTGGATATATTTATTAGTTAATATATTTATTTATTTTTCTATTTAATGTATTTATTTTTGTACTGGACATGAGACTTTAAAAAATTCACAGATTATATTTATAGCCTGACTAGAGCAGGTGATGTATTTTTATGCAGTAAAAAAAAAAACCTTGTATATTCTAGAAGAGTGGCTGGGGGGTTATTCATTTGTATTCAATTAAGGACACATTTACTCACTGCCAGTGATGAATTGTGGAAGAAGAAGTTTTGATGTGGAATTGCATATCTACCTTACAATTACTGACCATTCCCAGTAGACTCCCCAGCCTTATAATTGTGTATCTTCCAGCCAGGAATCCTGCATGGCCAGCGTGTATTTCTACAAATAAAGTTTTCTTTGCATAACATTTGCTTGGAGTTTGCAAATGTTTCAGGAGCAGAGACCATGTTGAGGATAAGCTTGAATCTCATTTTGCCCCAGGCCTTCCTTCTCCTTTGAGGAAGAAGATGTAGGAACCTGGACCTTTTTTCTCCTGCAGAATTCATCCCCAGCTCTACCTCCTAATTCACACAGCTCTGACCCCACAACTGCTCTCCACTCAAAAGGACTGTGACAGAGTGAGGGGCTTCAGCCATCTCTGCGCTCACCTCATTGGCTTGGAGGACTGTCCTTTCTATACCCCTGTTTTCTTTCTCACCCCATACTCTTGCAACACAAATTACAATGTGCATGAGGTTCTATTATGAAGGCTAAAAACACACAGGTGCAAAGTATAGGTCTAGAGTTGCCCGGGGAGGTGTATGAACCCTCTTTTGAGCCCCTTTCATTTTGGATTTTGTCCAGCCTCAGAATTTAGGTTGTTACCAGATCAAGTCTTTATCTTTGTGTCCAATTATTAAGCCAGTGTTTTCTTTCCGGGCTCCCTTCAGGTTAAGTGTCCCTGGACCCTGAGGAGCCAGAGTTCTGGCCTGGCCTAGTTCTCCCCTTCTTCCTCCACCTCACTCTGAAGTGCACCCCCAGTTTAGTTGCTTAGTTTTCTCAGTCTCAGAAACAACAGTCTCAGGCTGATTCCCTAGCTCGTGAAGAGAACCCTCCTTACCGCTTTAATTTCTGCTCCCTGTTCTTAGCCCAGGCCTTGATGTAGTTTCAATGACTTTCACTTTTAATAACTCTCATTATACAAGTAAAATTGCCAAATAGAAAAAAAAATGGAAAAAACCCATATAAATATAAAGAAGAAAATTAAAATCACCCATAATCCCACCACCTGCAGACCACCACTTTTAAACATTTATGCGTATTTTTTCCAGATCTTTTTTGAGGGTTCAAATCATAACTTAGGTCTAGTTACCTGAGTGATTTGATGGGGCAAAACTGAACTTTATTTGGACTTAGTTTCTTCCTTTGGGGAACAGAAAGGTAATACCTACTTTACAGACTGATGGAAAGGTCTTTCACATTCCTCTGATTTTTTCCCTTGCTTTTGTAAGTTCATACCCCCCATTATCATTGCCCATTTTCTATCAGGTTTTTACCCCTTATCACCCTTTTTCTACCAGATTTTTCAGTTGTGTGTTTCCTGATTCTCTCTGACCAATCTAATAAAAAACTTGACTTCAACTCTCAAGAAATAGAATTAAGAGGTCAACTGCATGGAACTCAGTGCTAAAATTAAAATAATCACCTCCAAGAAATGCTACATGGCAAGGAGGAAGCTGGTTTCATCTGCTAAGGATGTAGTGAGTGTCTCCCAGATGGCCCTGAGTTTGACCACAGGGCTGAAGACACAGCTCCTCTATTTGCTTCTTAGAAGGGAGCTTTTTTGTTTTGTTTTTTGTTTTTGTTTTTGTTTTTGTTTAGACAGGGCTTGCTCTATTGCCCATGCTGGTCTTGAACTCCTGGACTCAAGCAATCCTCTCACCTCAACCTCCTGAGTACCTGGGATTAGAAGTGCATACCGCCACACCCAGCCAATTTTTGTACTTTTTATAGAGATAGCCTGTTGCCCAGGCTGGTCTCGAACTCCTGAGCCCAAGCGATCCACCCTCCTTGGTCTCCCAAAATGCTGAGATTACTAAGGCACCATGGCCAGCCATAGGAAGCATTTTTGACTCTTCTGAAAGTCTGGACGATAGGAAGCCTTGGTCCTTTGGGACTCCATGTCCCTGTTTTGCCATTGACTTGTTACCCTTTGCCTGTCTATTCCTCTTCTCTGCAGAACTCTCTGCTCCAAGTCATTTGTCTCTTCTCTCCTTGACTTACCATAGTACTGCATGAGGAAATTCAACAATGTTGAAGAATAAGGAATTCAGCAATGGAGACGTCAAATTAGACTGGAGGTAAAGGCAAAACTGCATGAAGACGAGACCATTAAGGACAGACACTAAAGAGTGGTTTATGACAGTCACTTCAAATTACAATAATTAAAAATGATCATTGTCAATTATTAAGCACTTAGCATGTGCCAGGCCCTGAAGTGGAAACTTCACATATAGTACATTATTGAATCCTTAAAACAACCCTAGTCTGGCCGGGCGCGGTGGCTCACGCCTGTAATCCCAGCACTTTGGGAGGCCAAGGCGGGTGGATCACAAGGTCAAGAGATAGAGACCATCCTGGTCAACATGGTGAAACCCCGTCTCTA